ATTTTTTTGCATTCCTCTCTCTATTTGACATCTGCCCTGTTGAACTCATTTACCCAAATGGACTTCCATCAGTGACATCTCCCTTGTTGACAGGTCCATTAGCCACAATTAAGTAAATGATTTAGAGGTGATACTCACCGTTGGATTTATTGGATTTATGAGCTTGCCATAGTTTTGATACAGAGGAGTTTTTGCAAATAGGACATGGAGGACATTACATTCAAGTGCTTTAATTGTAGAATTTCATTATAAAGTAATTAAAACAATTACACGAGTAATTGATTTAATGAATACATTTTTTTATCTTACTTTTGATTGATATATATTTCAATCATGACAACTCTCAGAAGATTTTAGCATGGTGATGGATATTACAATGTTAATGTATTTGGTCTTGGCGGAATAGATCTGCTACGCTGCTGCTGAATTGTTGCTGCTGTTGGTTATTGCTGTAGTTGTAGATTATTGCTGCTGCTGAAAGCAAGTACAGGAACTTGGTACTGCCAATGCATATGGTGATACAGTGCCGTGAGTATTTAAGACATACTGCTGCTGCACAAATAGCATATAAAATAACCCTGTAGCAGATCTATACAGGTGGAGCTGGGGAAGGTGGAAGGTTTCAGAGAAACTCTGAAAGCGCGCTGCAGGAATCTATAGTAAATGCTAGCCAGCCATATAAATGCAAGGCAGTAAGCTCATTGGCTGCATATGCAGCATGAACCAATCAGCTTGTGCCAAGTCATTTAACTCTCTGAATATCATCGGTTACATTAACAACCCGTTGCCTGCACCATCTAGAGTTATATAGATGGTTATATATGATTGATGATGATATATACAGTATATTTAGATAGTAGTGTTTTATTTGTTTAATTCTTTTTTTTTTGCATATTTACAGTTCTGAAATATGTTCTCAATCTAATGAGGCACAAATCAAAATGCTGTTAACCATCGTTAACTCTTTCGTTCAGGGGCGGCTGAAAAGAGCTCCAAACATGGTGCTGAGGACCGCACTCAGAACATCATCATGGCCATGAAGGATCGCATGAAGATCCGTGAGAGGAACAAGCCTGAGATCTTTGAGGTCATCCGAGATGTATTTGTGGTCAGCAAGGCCATCCATGCTCAGCAGATGAAGACCATCAAGCAGAGCGTCCTGGATGGAACGTCCAAGTGGTCAGCCAAGATCACCATCACAGGTTCAAAAACTGATCATTGACATTGCCATTTTTCTGGATATATCATTAAATTTTTACTCAAGTTAAATTCAGCCATTTAAAAGTCATTCTAAAATGATACACAATCCAAATGTTCCTCTATACCTCAATGACTTCCCGTCTTCTAATCTGTCTTGCTTATAGTTGTCTGTGCTCAAGGACTGCAGGCTAAAGATAAGACTGGCTCCAGTGACCCCTACGTGACCGTCCAGGTGGGTAAAACCAAAAAGAGGACCAAGACGATCTACGGCAACCTCAATCCTGTCTGGGAGGAAAAGTTTCATTTGTAAGTATAATTCGACCAATCAGAGACCTTCTCTTTGATTTGAAGTGCCACTCTTTGTTCCTTTGTTGCCCTAGGCTGTCTTACTCAGAATGTGTGTCACCCAGCTTTTGATCCAGTCTCTTTTCAGTAGTGGAATAAACTTGTCTGAGTGAACAGGCTGTGGTTGAACCACTGGCCTGTTTTCAATATTATTCAGTCTAGTTGTATCTTAAGACTGGAATATACTACACAACTATTCTATCAGATTTTAAAAACACCAGGCATCATTTGGCAACTTTGTAAATAGTTACAGTAAATAGTTACAGACTGGGCATCATAAACTAATGATACACATCATTCACTACCAGACTTTCAAGTTCCAAATAGGCAGAAACATGCGTCACATTGCTAGAAGACGCATAATGAATGAAAACAATATGTGCTGTAAAACATGTTGGAAATCCTTTGACTGGATGGATGCGGAAGCTGTGATTTTCAATGCTTTTGACTGACCAAAATCTGTAGACTGGCTACTGGAAACTAGTGTTGACTCCTCCAGACTGGAAAGTCATGTAGTCAAGTAATTTCATTAACCATTACATTCCAAAGTTAGAAAAAAATTTGGGTCACACTTTAGTTTGGGGATCAGTTCTAACCAGAGGCGGACTTAACCATGGGGCCCAAAAGCCAA